AATTTGGAGAATATATAATTGCCTTGATTAATAATCCATGCCAAATTTCCTGAAGATATCTCGTCAAATGAAAAAGTTTTCCTTACAAGGACTTGGATTTTGACTGATCAATTTGTATGACAGCTATATGCTACAGTGGTTCAAATTGAAAAAAAAAAAAACATTCTGAGAATATATAGTTCTCTTGATTAATAATCCATGCCAAATTTTGTGAAGATATCTTGTCCAATAAAAATTTTTCCTTACAAGGACTTGATTTTGACTGATCAATTTGTATGATAGCTATATGCAATAGTGGTCCGATATCGGCGATTCCGACAAATGAGAAGTTACTTGTGAATCAGGGGACATGTACGAAAGTTCAGATCGATACGCTGTCTTCGAGGTATTACAAGCTTCTTGCCCAGCTTAATATACCCTGTTCAGGGTATAAAAATCGGAAATATAACCAAGCTTGTATATACATACATATGTATGTACATATTTATGTCAGTACTTAGTTATCCCAATGCCAATGCCATTATCATGGCATGACTACGACGTTGCAACTCTTCTTGCTGTTGTTTTTGTTTATTGTTCTCACTGTTTGACTTTTCCGTGCTTACGGCTGGGCAGCAGGAACAAGCTCCACGGCTGTGGTGGATTACAAAAACAAAAAAAAAGATGTGGCTACATTCAATGCGCCAACTTCCTTCACTCCTCTCCGTTCTGCTTTCGGCGCTGCCATCGTTTATGGACAAGTCGATACACTGTTTACGCCACTGCACACTGAATGGCGGCGTGGCGTGGATGCGGATCCGCGCCTTTCCCCACACATCATCGCTGCTTGGTTAAAAACCAAAAGCGACAGTGACTGCAAATTTTTAGGTTTTGCTTTTTATGCTTGGCTGCACGAAAGTCAGGATGTAAGCATGCTTGTACGTATGTATATTTGTGTACTACTGTATCTACGAATTCCCATACCTATTAAATACTTCTCGCATATATTATATTGTATTTACGTGTAGCTATGTGTAATTCTGGTTAATGTTTGAAATGGAAATGATTTTTAATACCTTAATGCCTTTCGCTGTGTCTAGGCATATTCTATGTTCGTATCTTTCTATGAGGATGGCAGAGTGTTTGCAAAGAAGTTGGAGTATCTACTAGAGGAATATATAAATAGATAAATTTATAAATATGTATATGACGCTACAGCTATGATTTGATTTTTCTCGTTTTCAAAACATGTGTATGTTTATCCTCTAAAGAATCTAATTTTTATTATTTTGTAAACTCATTTTTGATTTGATTTTGGTCGGTCAGTGTGAAGAGCAGTCAATTGAAAAGTCTCCCGGCTTGACACATAGATGGTCTTTCTAAAATTAAAGATAAATTGAGCTTAGATCTCCGTAAGCTCAAGCCTTTAGTCGGATAAAATCCGGGTCAATTTCGGCAACGTAGAACCGAGCGGGAATCGCGAAAACAGCTTTCTCACCGACTTTCATGCTTCCTCACTGCACAGAACCTAACACTCCGCTGGACGCAGGTACGCAATACAGACTTGACCTTAATATTGCAGTCGATGTCGTTGAAATTTCGACAGTCAATAACTCTACGATTTTTGGTGTGACATTCGACAGCGTTTGCTCCTTCACTCTCCATATGACCGCGCTAGCCGGCTGCATATGGGAAAAGACAAAGCAACGTTGTTGGCGACATATAAAGTAATCGGCTGGCCGGTCCTTCACCGCGTCGCACCAATATGGTCCCTTGGATGCAGTGAAATGCAGATGAGGAAGCTACAAGTATGTCAGAACTCTGCACTCCGGACTACGACGGGATGCATCTTGATGTCTCCCATCGAACGCCTGCACAGTGCGGCCCATATACTCCAAATTAAGGAGCATAATGAACTCCTCTCTAATCAGTTTCTGCTGCGGTGCTTTCGCTGAAATAATCCTTGCAGTCACCTGCTAGTAGCGGAACCGCCTCCGAGGACCATCAAGAGGTTGTACGTCGACGACGTAAAACAATATGCCGAACAGACTTAGGATACAACAAACTTCAGACATGTACTGATCGCCATTCACAGTAGACACATTAATAGCTTCACCGACTCCCTCTCACTGAATGGTCTGCTAGGAGTCAAGCAACCACCCATTGTTGAAGAGTGCGAGTTGCCGCGAGAATAGTGACTACAGCTTCGTTCTGGGTATCAGTTACTACAACAAGTTGATGATTCGGAGCAGTATTTAGAGATGCGCAAGCGTAATAAATAATGGCTGAAACATGGCTTCTTCATTTCACTTCGAAGTCCCATCGAAAGTCATCCGAGTGAACTGTAAACGTCGGCTGTGAAGGTTATGGCATTCGAGATTTGGAATGCGCTTGAAAATATTTTTATTTGAATAAGGAAGGACCATCAACAGCGAATTTTACATAGCGCTATTGGACCATTTGAAGGACCAAATCGCCGAAAAGTTGCCGCATTTGATGTTTCCCCAAGATAATGCACCGTCTCACAAGTCAGTGAAGGTCATGAATTGGGACTCAGATTGCTTCTTCATCCACCGTATTCCAAATAAAGCCCACAGCGACTATTTCCTACTCTCAGATTTCAAAAGAATAGTCGTAACCAAGAAATGTTCGACGAATGAAGAGGTAATCGCTGAAACTCAGGCCTCTTTTGAAGCAAAATACAAATCGTACTACAAAAATGGTAACGGAAAATTGGAGGGTCGCTATGATAAATGTATCACCCTTGAATCATGAAAGTGACCTTTGATAAAAAATGATTTTTTATAAAATACAAAGGGCAGAGCACCGACGCCCCTTGAGAACTGTAGGAACTGCAATAATTGTTCCCGAACTCTCCCCATATCTCCTTCGCTGGGTGTACAATATAATATTTCAAAAGTTATTGGATTCTTGTTTTCTTTTTTGATTTGAAAAGGGGTCCGTTTAAGTTGTAAGATCTTAGTTCAATAATAAAAAATCTCAACATTTAGTGCAATTCCCTTTATAACTTCTACTTTAGAATCTCTATATTTTCCAAAGTATCCTTGAATAGTATCCAAAACCATATTTCTTTCACGAAGCAATTGTAATTCGACGACTCTGGTGGTCAGCTTAAACCCTGAATATTAATTTGAGTGAATCATTTTTCACCTATGTACTTCGATATGTGCTTCCGGTCGTTATTTTACTCAAGCGTATTTTGAAGGTACATTTTAAAACCCGAGTAGTCATCGGATTCGAAAATTCTGATATGGTGTTAAATCCTTGAATTAAAGAAAGTACTGTCTCTATTCTGTAATAAGCCGTTCTTTATTATTAGAAAACTGTATTATATAAATGAAATATTACATACTCGTACGTATTTACCTGATTAAAATCACGATAATATAATACCTATTAGGAATTCTATTAAGCAAATCAAAATTAGCTCTTATTAGTATAATGCAATAAATAACTGTTTACATCCATACATACTTACATACATATGTTATGCATGCAATTCGCTTTTCATATCACAACTCAGCAAATTCGGCCAGTCAGCGTTGCAGTAAACAAAAGCGAAAAATGCAGTCGTCGTACAAGCACTGCGCTGCAATACACATCTTTATGTATGTACGTACACATGTATGTTTACTAGTTAATGCATATTTATCTATATCTGCACTTATTTAAACTTACTTACATATAGCCATTACAATCTGCATGCAGCGACTGCCACAGCGAAAATTCTGATTGGAATCATGTGCTTCATGCCGCTGGAATAGCGCATAAACGTACATTTTTATTCTCTGCAATTCCATGCGCTTCTTAGCAGCGCAGCTGGCAGCGAACCGGCAAGTTATAAAAAAGAAGGGTTGTTTTTGTTGTACAATTTTTGCCGGCTATGTTTTCTGCAATATTTTGTAAACGAAAAAAGCAACACAATAGCGTTATCTCGTTTTCACCGCACTCAAAATGGTGTGACGAACATGATGGAAGCCAACCGAACTTGTTTGTTGCTATGGCTCGATGCTTAGAGCAGAGAACTTAGAGCATGTAAGCAGCGCCGTAACAGAAAACATTAGCAGCGACTGAGTAGCTAAGCTGTTGCGGAGTATTATTGTTGTTGTCCCACAGATAATTCCTCTGCATATTGGTTTTGACAAAGCTGCTGCTTGTGTTTATTTCTGCATTTGGCACACCGAACACAATCAACATGTTTAAACACGTTCTGTTGCTAATGACGCTCACTGTTACGTCGCCGTTAGTGATGGCAGAGACTGTTAATACAGTTTCCTGTTGTACGATTTTGAGCGAACTTGTTGCTGAGCAGCGAACATCGAACTTGGTCGTTTTTTATTTTGAAATTTTTCTGTTCGAACAGAGCTCAAGCCGACAAAGTTGCCAACAAATGGAAATAGTTTAAATTTCGCTTTCTGCTGAACAAGTTGTGTTAGGAATTAGAGCGGAGTGTGTTGTTCATAGTGTGTCAGCAGTGAAGTAGCTGAAAAAATAAGTAAAAACTACAAAGTGTTAGAAAAATAAACAGTAAGCACAGTGAACGGAAAATTCGCGAGTTCTGCCAATTATAGCAGAGCTAATGAAAACTTTTTGTATAATTGACGAATACGTATAACTAATTTTTGGTGAAAGGTATTAAGTTGCTTAACTCGAATTTCGAATAATATTATATACTGCCTGAAACGCAAAGAACAAACGAAATAAGTTTGTCGTGTTGCGGTTCTGTATTGACATTTTTGCACTTTGCAATTAAATAGAACTAAATTAGAATATGGTTAAATCATTTTCATCATTCCCTTTTTAGTAGCCGCGAAACCACAATCGACAACCATTATAGTGATTCCAAGCGCGAGCAACGAAAGTGAATAAGAGGAAGTGTCAAAAGATGCAAATTAGTTTTTTTGTTTGCCGAATTTACAATCGACTCGTCAATTCTTATTGGAGTGCTGCTTTGAAGTAGCAGACGTTCGTGAATTAAATTTATAAAATTAATGCGAAGATAAAAGGCTTAAATAATTGAAACTAAACTCAGGAATCCACTTGGATATAAATAAAACTATTAACGGAATACTTATGAACTAATAGAAATGTATACAAAGATATGTATATAACCAATTTAAAAAATCCTTTCGACGTTTAATAATAAAAATGCGATATTATATTATCGCATATAGTTAAAACTAAAGAAAGAATTTCTAATATAAATATAATGTTTTGATATAAATATAAAACCGAGTAAAAGGAATAATAAAATATAAATATTGATAAAAAAAAAAGTTTTATTAGCAAAAGTGTGCATTGAACGGGAAATGCATTTTCCCCTTGTGGAAGAGTCGAAATTTTCGGTATAAATAAAAATATAACAAAAATACAAAAAGCCATCATATTTGCACATTTCAAATATGAATGCTGATTTTTTAAATAGTATTTGAAATAAACGCTCACAATAAAATTTTAAGAAAATAATACCTAACCATTCAGCATTTATACAATCAAGGATTAAAATAAAAAAATAATAATTTAATTGAAAAGCAAAAACAAATTATTCGCTTAAAAAATTTAGTTCACAATAAAAATAAAAAATAAGAACAAAATAGAGGTGACAAAAATTATTTTTGATAAGAAGGAAAACATGCCTCCGTTTATCAAAATTCCAAATTGTTTTCCAACTGTGAAATTAAACAAATACTAATAAAAGTAAATTTTTACAAAATAAACTACAAACGTTGAGCATCGGTATACTATCTAAATACTAAATGCTACTTATGGCGCCACGTCGTGACAGCAATAGCGCCAACAGCAGCACCAATCTTTTAGTTCAACATCAATTGCCACAATCTCAACAGCAGCAACAACCGCAACAAAGTCAGCAACATATTCAAGCATTTTTGTACTCCACATCCTTATACAACGGGACCAATTTACTTGAGCCCAATAACGGTTCTACCTTGATCACTAACAACAGCAACACCGATAATCATAACACAAACAACAATTTAAACAGTAGCAACGGCAATAACATCAACATGTCACCCATGCAGACGGGTAATTTGACACATGCAACGCTGAATGGTACTACTGGTGCTGTTGGTCCGACCTCTGGCACTCAGAATGGCCACCACCCACACCATGTCAATATAAGCAATAATAATAATATCAGTAATAATGTGAATGGCAATGTAAACGGTAATATTCATGATCAATATACTCGCTGTTGCTATCCAAATGGCGATTGTTTAAAAGTGGACGGTTCCTGTCTTATTGCTTTGGACGATCTAAGTGACACTGTACGTGTGCTCTGCAATAATGAGAACTGTAACATGGGACAGTATATGCATCGTGAATGCTTTGATTCGTGGGAGCAATCTGTGTTGGTGACCCTCAAGACTATGGGACGAGCACGTTCGTGGTCAGATCGTCAACGCACACAAAACTTGTGGACAAAGAAAGGTTATGATTTGGTGTATAAGGCATGTGTGTGCAAATGTGGACATGGCCATATACGCAAAGACCTCGAGTGGACATCGCCGGTTCAAAAATCAAGTGCAACACTAAATGGCGGACAGTTTGGTAATGTAAATGGTAATAATACGGCTATTAATAGTGGAGTCGGTCAACAACGTGTGCTGTTGGTCAATGGCGGTAATGTCAACAATATTCCTAACAACAACGCCGAGGATGAAGATAAAAAGAAGAAGAAAAAACGCAATCGTAACAACGGATCAAAAACAGCATTGGCAACGGTCAACTCGAATGGGCTCGTTTCAAATGGTCAACAACAGCAAGTGCAATTGTCGCCAGCAACGGCACAAGCCCAACATACTTTGCAACAACAACAACAAGCAACACAAGTTGCTAATCAGCAGCCGCAGCAACCGCAAGCGGCAATTTCTATGCTTAACGGACAACAGAATGGAAATGGAAATATTAGTAATGGAATCAGCGCCATATGCACCACCAATAATATCACCAAAACCAATAATAACCCAACTACCGCTAATAATGCCATGAATACAATAATTTGCAACAATAACAATAATAATCAAATCAATGCTTTGAACAACTCGAGTGTTGGCGTTATTGGCTCAGGTTTGCATAACAACAACAGTGGCAACCTACAGCAACAACAACAAACGCAGCAGCAACAACAAGCTGCCACCTCTTTGAATAATATTCTGGGACTAGATTTGCGTGCTCGCGCTGACAGTTTGTCATCGAGTGGTGGTGGCAGTGGCTCGACATCGCCCTCAGCATCCCACTCAAGCGCCGATATTTCCATTTCGCCCATACACCTTCATCAACAACATCAGCAGCAGGCGCAGCAGCAGCAGCAATTGCAACAACATCAACAAAATAATTTGCAATTGCAACAATATCAGCAAAGTTTGTTGCAACAAAATAACCTCACAAAAAGTATTTTGAATGGTGCATTAAACGGTTGCGTCGACACAATGCAACGCAGCACTACTGCACTGTTGGCTGCCACACAGCCGCAGCAGCCTGCGGCCACACCAATTATAGGTGGCATTGGCGCCGTAAATGGATTAAATGGTTTAAAACAATTGAGTGTTTTCGATCCGCATTTGGTGCAACAGCAAAAGAACAAGGAGGTCGAACTTTATTCGGAGCGTGTGCGGTAAGTTTAAATATGCATAAATTCATAAAGTAAAATTTGTCTATGGAAATATTTGTGCGCCACGTTAGAATGTGATGTAATCAAAATTTGTTATTAATTTAAACAAGTTTAATAAATTTTTATGTCGGAAACGGCATAAATTTGCATACATTAATACTTGATTCGCTACTTCTGCTCGCTTGCTTGAGAGAATCGCAAACAACTTTTTTTTTTTTCATTTATACGTGTCTCTGACACATTTTAATTGTCATTAACAGCTGAAAATAATATAAACACCGCTAGTTGTGCTTTAAGCACAATGTTTAGCAAATTATTTAATTTGGGCGATAAAGAAATAATTATTTTTTAATTCCGCTGATAACGACACATTTTTGAATAAAAATATGTGAACGGTGAACACTCTGCCTAGCTATAAGCAAGTTTGTGAAAATTACAATCATGACAGCTGTAGACAATATTTTAATTTTGATTGTTATTTTCAATTAAAAGCTCCCAGCTAAAAAATTCCTTAACGTCGATCTTCTGATTGTCATCGCTTAAGATAATTTTTTTTTTTTTTATCGCTATGCGCATTCCAGCTGTGAGTGATCGTTTGTGCTGTCGTATTTTGCTCCAGCTGGGAAAGATCTTCAGTATATCCACCCTATCCAATCGTCTTATTCGATAAATATCTTTTTTTTTAAACAAAAAATCAGCAATTTTATTTGCTTACAATTATTGTTGCTTTGCTTATGCTGATATTTCTTCACAGTTGTACCTCTTTCATTTCCTTCCAAAAACTTTTAGCCAAAAACAATTTGTCAGTTATATTAAACAAAAATAGCAACAATCACAGCCACATTACTGCTCGGAGAATTAATTATAATTTTTTTTTTGGGTCTGTTTTAATTCAATCTTCGACGCGTCCGGTTTTGTGAACTTTGGTTTGACGTTTTTCTTCTTTCCTGGAATCAAAAGTAGTTTAGTGGTTCTTTTACAATTTTACGCAAAACAATACTGCAAACAAGCAATAAGCCTACATTTGCAAAACAACAACAAATACATTTTTTCTGTTCTCTAATTCTTTATTATCTTTTGTTCTTCACTTTTAAAGTTTTTATGCCGTGTTTTACATTATATTCGGCTATGAATTAGTTTGTGCCTCTATTTTCAAGGCCATTTCTTATTGTTGTGCTTACAATTTCGTGTTTTCTCTGCACCACTTTCGTACAATTTTGCGGGTGTTATTTGTCAGCAATAATGTATGAAGTTATTTAGAAGCGCGAGCTATGGTGTATACATATGTATATGTAAATTTACATATTTTTATACATAAATGTGTATTTCCTAAAGGATGGAATATCAAATATAAATTGTAATACTGCATAAATATAAATATTAATAATAAAGATAATAATAAAGTATTCTTTAATATGTTTAACACAATTTTATAAAGTGGGCATATGTTCCAACACCTAAATTATTATTCCGCTTTCTTAATTATATACCTCAAATCAGAATAATTAGTTTGTTTGTTTAAAAAAAAAAAATTGCTACAAAAAATCGACTTCCTACTTAAACTTGTATTTGTAGGTCTATGTTTACAAAAAAAAAACTATTAATATTCTATTAATACCCCACCCACCGCCGCTGACATTTCGTCACCTATTTATGCGCCAATCTGCCTGGCGTTAAGTTCTGCTCGTTATGTGAACTCTATCACGTTCTCTATTTACACGTTTATACGCATACAACTACTCACAAATATATGTATGTACCTATGTACAACAACAAAGTGTGTTCATTGTGTGCTTATTGTGTGCCCGCATTCGCTTTCGTGAAAAAGAATAATTTTAAATAAATTGTGTATGCTAATTGCTTGATTTTGCGCTGAGAAGATAGAGCGCCAAGGAAAAAAAAAAAAACAAAACCAAAACACAAAACACAAAAAAAAAAAAAAATTAAATTCGTGAACCAAAATAAACAATTTTTGGATAAAAAGCGGGAGGTTCTTGTGCCGCGAAACTTTTGTGAATTGGTTTTATTAATTTTGTTTTTCTCTTTTAGATTTTTTTTTCAATTCTGTCTTTATTTAATTTTTTTGTTTTTAATTTTTTTCATTACTTTATTTTTAATTTTTTTCCTCATTCATTTTATTTATTAATTTTGTACTTACGTTTTTTTCCTAAAGTTTTGTTTTACCAAACACATTCAAATTCTTATCAACGCGTTTGTTATTTTCTCACACTTTCAAGTTTATTAAATTTTTGATTTTTCTTTTATTTTTTATGCATAAAAAAATGTAAAGCTTAATTTTTCTTTCGATTTTACTTTCATTTTTATCTCTATTCTGCTCATTCGCAGCAAAACGCTTTTGGTGTTTATCGACGCACACAACGTCACATAGCGCTGTTTTACTCGCGGGAAGCGCTCGACGCGCTGATTCTAGCCATAATTTTATTTTTACACGCTTTTCGAATTTTGGCATTATAAATTTCTGTTTTTTTCATATTTGCTTTTCTTGCTCGCTGCTACGCACTAGTCTTCGACTTTTGTGCAAAACAAAAAATAAATAAATAAATAAATAAATAAAAGTAAAATAAAAAAAAGTAAACGTTAAATAAAAATTGTGCCGGCATTTATCATTGCGCTCAATTTCCTTCCGCTGCGTTGCTGCTAAATGTCGCTTTTGTTGATAAACAATTCTTTTTTAGATTAGTCAAAATATTGCCTTAAGTCCGCTAGTTGCGCACTTTTTTGATATACATACGTACATTGTGCGCATGTATTTATATTAAGAAATGCCGTTGCTTACCGTTATATCCCCACCCTTGCATATTTATTTTTTTCAAGTTTCCCCGTGCTTCCATTTTCGCTTAATTTAAGTGATGTTTTTGGTATTTGTTATTAGCAATTTGCTTTTCGAAATTTCACTCGCGCTCATGGCCAAGGTCATTGCTGGCGTTTGCAGTTGCTCAAAATCAACGATCAATTATGTTTGATAATTATTTTGTTTGCATTTGGTTTTCGACAAATTTAGATCAATTTCTCTCTGAATCAGAAAAGTGCTAATGTGATTAATTTCAAGGTTTCCTTTTTCTTTAAAGAAAAAAACACAGAAACTTCATATTTAATGGGGAATACTTCTTGTGATTCGAAAAAACATTCTTTGGAATTTATGTTTTGACGATTTTCTCTTTCAAATATTGCCGGCTTCTACGTCGCAGATGATCCAAACGTTGAGTCCAATTTTTGATGATTCGTTCGTGCCATTCGACTGGTAACTGACTCGAAGCGGAATTGTCCGCGGAGACTTTAGACTTTATATGTATATCCCCCCAGAAAATGGATGCCTTTCTTAGTGGCTTCCGTATTTCCTTTAACGGTGTGTTATCACACGATTTTGTTGGCCAATCGACGGGTGTTCTCTCAATAAATCCAATGATTGATGCGATGTGTGGTAAGTGGCCCGTCTTGTTGAAACCAAATGGCAATAAGATCACGAGCTTCAATTTCCGGCATCAGATATTTGGTTATTATGGCGCTATAACGGTCGCTTTTGACGGTAACGTTCTCAACGCATCGTTTTTGAAAACCATTGCTTTTTTTTTGTTTTGAATGAAATAGCAGCTCTAGAATCTCTTTAGGTTGCACTTCGTTCCAACTTCCTTGTTTAAAAGCCCATTGAGCATAAAAAGGCCTTCATCGTTGAATAAAATTCAGTTCGAAAACGTCGGATCTTCTTCTTGTAACTCGGATCTTCCTCTTGTAACTTTCAAGAGCCCATAGAGCGAAGGGAAATCGGTTGGAACGGTCGAGGGTCTTCAGTTCTTGCACATGCTGTATTTTGTTATTTAAGATCTCGACGTAAAATGCTCCAAGTCGTCCTCTACGTCAGTCCAAGCTGCTGCGACAGGCGCCGACTCAACTCTTCACGGTCCTCGAGTACACTCTCAGCTACGGCTGCTAAGTATATTTTCTTCACTGTGTACCGTACATGTTTTATTCGGTCGAATATTATCCAATAACGAATGCTAGGTCTCAAAATGGGTGATGGTGTTGCGAATAGTATACTTGTAGGCCGGTTATGTTTTCGAAAATTGCTTCCCAAAATTGAAAATATATCACCACTGCACTTATCGAAAATTGTTTCTTAGAAGTATCGTTATTTGGAAATATATCTTCGCTGCTCTTACACACAAATTTCTCTAGAAAAAACTCTAATCCAATCAATAACTAAGTCTTCGTCACACTGAATGACATCGAGTGGTCAAGTTAGTCCTTAAAACTGTAAATCTCTCACTTATCACCAAAACACCGCAAACCAATTACGCGCTTATATGATAAGTTACGCCGGCATTATCTTGAGCCAAAAAGCATTGAGTGACAAAAAGCGGCTTATTTTATAATATTTCACTTCGAACTGTTTTGCTGTGCGCTTCTTTCTCTTCACGATTTATCACTCAGCCTCAATTGTCAGTGTCTTTGCAGTCATTATCGTTACGGCATCGTCATCATAATCACAATTGCTCTTCGTCGTGGCGGGCGCTGTTGCTGCATTTGAGAATGCAAGTTTTAATTAAAGCCAGCACTCCCACACAAACTCGCCAAATAAGTCGATACGCAGTCAGACAGACAGACGGTTAGACAAGCAGCCGCCTCGTGCACATGCACTGGAGGCGATTGCCCCGTGTCGTTGTTGCATTGCCAAGCGTTACGTTAATAAGCGCGCCACTGCAGTGAGCTTCGCGCGCTTTACTCGACTTCTCTCCACGCATACATATTTATTTATATGCATTTATTTATAATGGAACCACTCATGTCTGCCATGGCGCTCTTACATACCATATGGTCTGCGTCTGTGTATGTGCATCGTTGTTTTTTTCTTTTGCGTCTAGCGTTTTAGTTATTCTAACGTTGTGTTGCTCGCATTCTGTCTGTCAGTCAGTCAGTTTGACAGTTCGTCAGATAATTGACTACAAAAACAACACAATAGCGACTTCATTGAAGTTTTATATCTT